TTGTCATTTTTTAAAAGTCCATTTTATTGGTTCATATATGAGACTGTTTCCTATAGGCATTTCTTAAGATAGGTAGTCTGAGTAAAAATGCTCTAAACCTGCTGGTAAGTCTCAGAGTATTGATTGTCTTCTAATCTAGTCTTGACTTCACCTTGAAACTTTAGCCATAAGATTTACAAGATTTTCCTTTCACTAAAAGCTATCATCTATAATCCTTGCACTCGCTCATTTCAGAATCTAGATGACGGAATGTCACCTTCCGTTACTTTATAAACTCCCAAATCAAAGTTTCTAATATCAACCCTTACTTCACTCATCACTCTTGCTTTCCACCTTACAATTTATGGTTAATTCTTTACCACCTCTTGACACTTCCTATCTGTAGGGTTTGCATGGTCAGCACAGCTAAACGGGATTCTGAAGTCAAACAGCGTTAAAAGTTCCACAAATTTCACAGAGGAAATGCGAAAACATAAAAACAGTGCATGTCAAAATGTCATCCCATGTTGACAGTAAATCACTTAGCTAACATTTAGTTTGTCTTTGGTGTATTATCAGCAACCACTCACAGCTCTGTCTGTGCTGCTACGTGTGCCTGTTTGAGTGTGTGTTTGTGTGTGTGTGCATGTGTGTTTCAGAGTCATTTCTTAACCCCACAGAAAATACTGCTGTTTTCGCTTCCATCCTTCTTTTTTAACCTTTTACAAATAGCCAAAATAATGTATGGATGTGCGATTTTGCTGTCCTTTTCTTCCCGATGCAGGCAATAAAAGTTGATTTGCACTAACAAGCTAAAAGCTCTGAGTGCTACCAAACTGTGATGCATTCCAGGAGGGAGGGCAGCTCTCAGAACCCATGATGGTAGAAAGCTTTTTCACAATAGACCCCACGAAGATTTAGGATCCAAGGCTGGGATTTAATCTACTGTTCAGAAGCCAGCTGGTATGGAAGAAAAGATTCCTCTGAAAATTGGTAGAAACGTAGAATGTCTTCTGTTTCTTGTGCTTTTACTTTCCATAGAGCCCCCCTGCACGATAGCCATGTCCCTTTGAACTCTCCATTCTCTCTTGCAGTCTTGGCAAGGATTCTGATTCTAAGAGTCTTACAGCATTATTCAGTAATAAGTTATAAAGTGTATTTGTGAGAAAATATATGCTAACCACATGCACACTACAAATAACCCATGTCATGACACTAACTGGCAGTTAACATTTCCAATAATTGCAAAAGAAAGTGAGAAATACTGCCAAAGAAAATGTTAAGAATGAAAATTCCACTAATAACATTCATCTGCTATTCCCTTTTGATATTTCATCAACAAATGACTCAATATGATTGAAAAGGTGTTACTTCAGTTCTACATGGAATCATGACCCAGAAATACCGAACTACATATTTTCTTGGGGAGACTGAACAGCAAGAATTAACCTCTGGGCATGGCATGGTGGCCTAGCAGCTGAATTCCTCACCTTGCACTCTCTGGGATCCCATATGGTCACCGATTCTAATCCCGGCAGCCCCACTTCCCATCCAGCTCCCTGCTTGTGGCCTGGGAAAGCAGTGGAGGATGGCCCAATGCCCTGGGACTCTGCACCCACGTGGGACACCTGGAAGAAGCTCCTGGCTCCTGGCTTTGGTTTGGCTCTGCTTCGGCCATTGCGGCTGCTTGGGGAGTGAATCTTTGGATGTAAGATCTTCCTCTCTCCGTCTCTCTTCCTCTATGTATATCTGACTTTCCAATAAAAAATAAATGAATCTTAAAAAAATAATTAACCTTTGAGGCTTATTTTAGGAATTATCTAATTATCCAAACATCAGGGAAATGGGGTGGGGGAGAAAGACAGAGATGAGGAAAGAAAAAGAAGGATCTCTACTTCCAAAATAGCCACAATAATCGAGGTTGGCCCAGGCTGAAAACAAGAGTACAGAATGTCTTTGGGGACTTCCACTGCTTTCTCAGGCACATTGTCAGGTGGCTGTATTGGAAGCAAAGCACTTGAGGCTCCAGTCAGCACTCTCAGTCTGACTGAAAGATGCAAGTACAATAAATAATTTCAGACCTTATGCAGTATCAGAATAGACTGTAACCACTGTGTAGCCATAATGCGTGTTCTGTGTTGGCGAAAAAGAAGGTAGTTCTGGAAATGATTGAGTTCCTATGAAGAAAGGAACTCATTAGAATGACAAGTAGAGTTCATAGTGATAAAAAGATATCCCGCTTTTACATCTGACATTTCTCTTATTGAACAAAACAAGAAAAGTATAGTATCATGCTGATATTGGAAAGAAAAATTGTCAAACCATGAAATCACTACCTATAGTTTACTGAGGAAATAGTGGGGATGTTGCCTAAGAACCTGGGCTTTTGGAGCCAAATTATCTCTGTATTTAAATTCCAGTTCCATTTATATCTTGTGCAATTCTGAGTGATTTCTTTTTTAAAGATTTATTTTTATTATTATTTTTTTTAATTGGAAAGGCGGATATACAGAGAGGAGAGACAGGGAGGAAGATCTTCCGTCTGATGATTCACTCCCCAAGTGAGCACAATGGCCAATAACATGCCGATCCGAAGCCAGGAGCCTCTTCCAGGTCTCCCGCACGGGTGCAGAGTCCCAAAGCTTTGGGCCGTCCTCGACTGCTTTCCCGGGCCACAGGCAGGGAGCTGGAAGGGTAGCAGGGCTGCAGGGATAGAACCGGCGCCCATATGGGATCCCGAGCGTGCAAGGCAAGGACCTTAACCACTGCGCCACCGCGCCGGGCCCCTGAGTGATTTCTTTAACCTTGTGATATCTTAGTCTTTTTTTCTGTATAAAGGGATGATTAACATAGCTCCTTTATGGAGTTGTAAGGATTACATGACTTAATGTAAGCAAAGTCCTGGTTGTCACATCTTTAGCACTCAATAAATGTTAGCTGCTACTAATAAATGAGTGAGAATTAAAAAGAGAAAAATATATTTGGCTTTGATCATTTTTAGCTCTTTAAATAAATTTCAACATTCATAAAGCTAAGCATTTTGCTATAGCAATAGCAGCACTTGTGGTTGCAATAATGCTGGTGTCAGTAGTGCGATTAGCCAAGTCTTCAAGTCTAAAAAACACTCTGGGACACACTCTATGCGCCAAGATTTATTGGGGAATTTTCCTGAAAGAGTACTTCATTGGAGTGAGGGAAACTGGGCTGAGGGAAACAATGGGCTGAAGTACAGCCACCACTAAGGATTGGATTATCTCAGGGAACTCTCTGGAGCTAAGAAAGCCATCCAGAACACTTCACCTTGTCTTGAATGGAAGAAAGGGAGCCAGACTCCTTAGGCTGATTCCTCCTAGTCAGTGGACACAGGCTACTCTGGCACAGGGACCTAATGCTAGGCAACCTTCTCTAACTTCAGTCATTGTAGGGTCAATATTCTGAGGCACCATAACTTTGATCACAGTTCACTGCTTGTGCTAGTCAGAACTGGCTTGATATATGATCAATCAATCTGGGACTGCTTCTCCAAGATTTTGGTTGGTACCTTTTTCTGGGTAAAATTCTCACCTCTTTCAGCCTCCGTTCAAGAAATTAGTGCAGACCCTGTTATAACAGGCTGTTGGGGGTGGGGGTAAGGAAAGGCACAGTAATATTTATCACCCTATACTCCCATCTCCTACCCAGTCTAGATTCTTTCTACTTTTGGCTGGCAACACTTGGTTATTGAATTGGCTTCCTGGTTGATGTTTTGCCTACTGCTGATTCTCAGGGACCTGAGCACTGGTGATCATGCCTTTCTCAGGCTCTGACTGCTGTGCTTCCATTTAAACTGCAAATTGTACAGAATGGTGTGAGTCACTTTGATGCAAACACAATGTTCTCATATCTTCCAGAAAAATAGCTGCTTTTCTGCCTGTGAGTTGGTACAAGAAGCCTCACTTGAGTTAGAGCCTTAATTAACTTTTGCTAAGTTCCCAGTGGAAGTGACTTCACCCTGGCAACCAGGGTCTCTGGCTCCTCTCAGTAGAGAATGGTGAGCATGAGAGAAATGAAGCATTTCAAAGAAATCCCCGGGAGTAATAAAAGAACTCATTACTCCTCTGCATATAATATTCCACTCTCTCTATTCTGTGACCTGCCATCCAAGCTGTTCATGACTGTCCATAAGTTCATGTGTATCCCTTCTCAAAAAATCAATCTATCAATGGGTCTGAAAGGCAGACACACATACACACAATCACACCTTGCACTACCTGGTTCACTCCCCCAAATGCCCGCAATAGCCAGGGTAGGTCAGACTTAAGCTAGGACCCAGGAAACTCCATCCAGGCCTCCCCAACAGGTGACAGGTTCCCAAGAACTTGAGCTGCCACCTACAGACTCTCAGCGTATTTATTAGAAGGAAGCTGAAATGGCAATCTGAATGGCAGCTTAACCATTGTGCCAAATTCCTGCCCTCAACTTTATTATTCCCTCAACAGATTTCCATTTCCGTTGAGTGGGGACAATCAGGTGAAATCTTGCCCTGTCGCTGTTTTTCCAGGAATATCGCCAAGCAGCAGGGTCTTCATGCTATAATCACAGCAACCCTTGTTGACAATCTCCTTCCTTAGTCTGCTCACTCTAAGAATGCTTCCATGTGGTCACAGGTAAGATTTAGAAAAGGGACAACAGTACAAGAGGAGGGAATAAAATGTATGCCTAAAAAACCTGCTCCCTAGTTCTTACTCTGTTCCATCTCATCTGTGCTAACACAAAATTCTGAATATAAAGGTGCCCTTTTATCCATATATTCATCATTGTCTTGATATGGGAAGTGCTCTCTGAGCCATCTCTGCATTATCATTGACTGATAAGCTTTTAATTTTATGTGAATTAGGGGTTGTATTTGTCGCATACCCTCATTTAAATGTTGAAACACTAACATCAGTGTTTCAAATTGTGCTGTATTTGGAGATGGGACTTTAAAGTAGTGCTCAAGTTATAATAATACCATTATGTTGGTCTTCAACCAAATATGACAGGTGCCTTTGTAAGAGGAAATTTAGGCTGCAGCACCTGAGCATGAGCTCTTGGATAACTGGGGGCCACTGGCCACGTATGGGTGGCCCTTTTAAAAGTGAGCAACACAGTGCTGGGGGGCGGAGGGTGGAATGGAAAGAAGGAATTTATTCATGCAAAGAGATACTGGGGATACGCACACATCGTGATTCAGAGTAGAGTCCATGGGAGGACACAGTAAGAGAGCATCAGTCTGCAAGCCAAGGAAGTCTCGGGAGACACCAAACCTTAATCTGCAACATACAATTTCCAGAACTGGAAGAAGTGTACTTCCATTGCTTGAAGCCAGCTAACTGTGGATTTCATTATGAAAACCAATACACTTATACGTCCATCACATACACTTTCTTGAGCTTTCAATCTCTGTTTATACTTTGTGGATTTCTTTTCTGAAGGGGAAGGGAGAGAGAGAGAGATCTATTCTCTATTGGTCCATTCCTCCAAATGCTTGCAATAATCAGGACTGGGCCAGAACAAAGACATGAACCAGAAACTCAACCCATGTCTTCTACATAGATTGCAGGGATTCAGCTACTTGAGTCATCTTTTTTTCCCTTTAAAATGTCTGCTTTCAAAAACAAAAAGCTGGAATTGGGACCTATTGAAACTGGGCACCAAACCTAGGTACTATAATATGAGAAGTAGCTATCTGAATTGTGGTCTGAACTCTAGACCAAATGTTCACCCCAAATCCATAATTTCTGAACTCCATAGTGTTGAGTGTTGCTTTCATCAAGATATTAGAAGCAATTTAATGGTGTGCTAACAACAGCTTCTCGGGTTTTTGCCAGGGCATTGGCGAAGTGCTCCCAAGTAGAAAAGCTCTTCTGTAATTAACTTTAGGTTTCATCTGGTATATTTTCTCCTCCAGCTACTTACACCTTGATAAGGTCCTAACGTCCTTTTGGGTTATATTTCCTTACCTTTACATTCCTCCTGGCTATCAGTCTATTTTCTAGGAGGAAAGTTGGGATAGATCTCAGGACACAGATTATGTGAACTTACAAAGCAGCGGAAAAAGACTCACTATTATCAATGAAAAGTTGATTAGCTCTGATGATCAAAGAGTTCAAAGGCATTGGGATTTCAAAATTTCCACATTTACTGATGAGAGAGCGTTTCCCATCCCAACCCCTGATCTATTCTATCTTAATGTCATGCTGAGCTGACAGAGTTGTCAATGTTGAAAACGCAATCTTCATTGGAGCTTTGTTATGTTAACACACACACGTATGAACAATTCTATATCTAAAAATAAAAGCTAACTGACCTGACCTTTAGCTAAGAAAATCTTCTGCTTTCACATTTTATTTTAAATCATTGTCATCCACAGTTTTTCACATCTTCCTCAAATGCTGCAGGAGATCCCATCTTAAGAATGCTTATAATTGCCAACTCTCCGAATTCTCTAAAGCCACTGAGATATTGTTTTTGCCAGTGTATTTTATTTCTGAAAATCCGATGCCATTCATCACCAGTGACTCCTTTAACAATTTTTTCCAGTTCCTGCCAAGAGCTATCAGTATTACATCCACAAGCTGTGATGGCCCTTCATTACCAGCCTGACAGTAGGTGATTACAGTTTAAATTCTTATGTCAGATACTCCCTCTCAAGATCATTCTGAGTACACGATAAACCACATTCATTGTAAACAGTCTCTGAGATGAGGATTTGAATTCAGAGACATGTTAGGGCCTGCTTACTGGAACAACGTTTATGGAAGAAGAAAGACAGCAGGAGTGGGACGAAAGAAAATTTCAATTGTGAAGGCATTACAGTAAGTGTCTCATTCCATGTGAAATCTAAACTGGAATTGGCTTTTCAGAATGGGCTCAAATCTAAGTAGATTTCTGCATCTTTTATCTTACTACATACTAAGTATATTGTGCTTAGAATAATGACCTGAAAGAGAAATAATGAGACCCTTCAGCAGTGAGGATTTCTGGGAGGAGGCCCAGCTGTGAGCTGTCGGCAGGTAACGCCCCCAGAGACTAGGGGAACAAGAGCCTCAGTTCTCATCTCACAACTGCCACAAGAGCATCCTTGTCATCCGAATAGTCAGGACTCCCATTTGAGTCCCTTCAGTGACAGAAGCTGCAAGAAGAAGTAAAGGCTAATTTAAGAGGATTTTATTTTACTTATGAAGAAAGTAACCCTTCCCTTGAACAACTTTCCTATACTAGTACCTACCATTTTTCACCAGGTCCTCACTTATAAAGTTTTTGATTAATAACAGAAAATCCAGTGGAAATGATTTGTATCAAAGAGTCAAAATAGTTTGATTTTTAAAGGATTCATAAAGATTTCGAGAGGACAACACTTTGGAATACTGTAAAACATGTGTGTATGTTTGTGTGCATGGAGAGGGAGAGAGAGAAAAACAAAGAGTTGTGGCATCATGTCATATTAAAACTTTGTAAATAAAGCATTTTATTCAGTCTTCATTCAAGGTATTAGCTCATACTTAGAATCTACACCCAAGCATTGTGAAATCAAGTAGTTTTATGTATCAAATTCTGATTCAAAACTAAAGTCCTCACGTCCTCATTTAATGCATCTCTCTGAAGATTTTTTTATATTATTCTCATGTATCGATGACTTTTCATTTCATTTCTAGCACAGAAATTGACATTATCAGACACCACATGCGAAAGTCTATTTTTTGTGTCATTTTAGAAGTTCCCAAGCATCCTTATGCTATGGAATTGATCAGAAGTTCATTCAGATTTCATTCTCAGGAAAAAACGCCAAGAAAGTCTCAATAAGCTACAAGTCCATTACAGGTGATGGAAACGAGACAGAGATCAGCTCTAAGTAAACCTTGGCCAAAGGGATTCATCCTTCAGGTATTCACCTCTGCTGGAAGATAAGAAAGATTTTCTTATCCAATTAATTGAGACTAGCACTAAATGTCTTAAAAAACACCTTCAAATTTTTGCATCACCAAGCTACTTTTTCATCGCAAACTTGTCAAGAATACCATCGACTTGTGTAAAGCGATGATACAGCACTTCCAGCATCATAGCTGTTCTTCACAATTAACTGAATTAAATGCATGGCTTCTGGGAAAAAAAAAAAAAGCAAACGCCTGAGAGTCACTGGCAGCACAGCTCTTGACTCACATTTTAGGCAGCTCTGCCTCAGTCATAGAGTGATGTTGATGGTATGGCATCACGCTCCCTAGGCTAGTAAGTAGGATGGTCAGTGGGCTGGGAATTTGTTGGTACTTTTCTTCTGAAAAACATAGCATCATCTTGAGCTCAGGATAAATATCCAAGAAGGAATAGTGCATTTACCTTGTTGTTTTGTTGCACTTTTTATTCAACTTCCATTTGCTCTGTTAGTGACTTTAATTCATTATCATGCACATGTTTGTGCAGGTTTTGGATGTAAACCACCTATCTTTGCTGATTTTTGTTTAGTTGCACAAGAATAATAAGGTGCAGTAACCTGATAACATATAGCATTCTAATTTCAAATGGTAAATTTTGTTTGTAGTTCTTTTAAAATCTCACCAAGAAATCTATAGTGAAGTGAACCAAAAATATTTACTGAAGGTTGTGAAATCAAATTCTTATAATGTAAAACAGGACCCAATCTCTTGTCTGCTTCCCTGAGCCCAAGGGGTCCTTGTCTTCCCTTCATCAAATGGAATTTACTAACTTTAGGGAGTCAAGGTCACTTAAACAAACCAGAGGCTTTACAGGGTTCTAATTCCAGAACTTAAGGAGTCATTTGTTTCTCCAATAGATAAGAACCTTGATGGCCAGTGTTGTCTTCAGGTGATTTTTAAGGCAAATTCCAGGTCTGGGTAGAATGTAACTGCCACCTTCAGGTTGACTTCAAATTGGAGCTCAACTGGCCACCTCAAATTCCCTAAAGATCATGACATGATTGCAAAATCAAAGGGATAATCATGAGCTCCACTGGCCAACCAGGAACTTAGTCACAAACTCATTACACATCTCTCACTCCCAATTTCAGTCTATAAAAATCTTCAACCTCAGCACTGGCACAGTAGATACACACGCTAATCTGCCTGCAACACAGGCATCCCATATGGATGCTGGTTCGAGTTCAGACTGTTCCACTTCCAATTGAGGTCCCTGTTAATGGTTTGGAAAGCAGCAGATGATAACTCAAGTGCTTGAGGATCAGCACCCATGTAAGAATCCAGAAGAGGCTCGTGGACCCCACCTTCCAATCAGCTCAGTGCTGGCTGTTGCAGCCTTTTGGGGAGTAAACCAGCAGATGGAAGACTTCTCACTCTGTTTCTCTTTCTCTCTGTAAAATTTGCCTTTCAAACTAAAACAAACAGAACAAAACAAAAACCTCACTCCTACCTACTCCTCAGGAAACCTGGCAATCAAGCAGCTGCTACCCAGGTTCTTATATTTCACTTTGGTTTTTTTTGTATAGAGAATGTATTTATCAATTAATTTATTTTAAAGATGTATTTATTTTTTATTGCAAAATCAGATATACAGAGAGGAGGAGAGATAAAAAGAAAGATCTGCTCTCCAATGATTCACTCCCCAAGTGGCCATAATGGCCAGAGCTGAGCTGAGCTGAGCCGAAGGCAGGAGCCTGGAGCCTCTTCCAGGTCTCCCATGTGAGTGCAGGGTTCCAAAACTTTGGGCCTAACTTAATTGCTTTCCCAGGCTGCAGATAGGGAGCTGGATGGGAAGTGAGGCCACTGGGATTTGAACCAGTGTCCATACAGGATCCCGCATATGCAAGCTAAGGACCTTAGCCACTGAGCTACTGCGCTGGGTCCTTTTGCTTCACTTTGTCCATTACACACAATGATACATAGCTAGTTGTTGTTGAACATGACTTCCAAACTTGTTGGCAAGAACCAAAGCTGGGACCCAAAAATTCAATTAGGTCCCATGTAGGTGGCAGGAACCCAATCACCTTGCCTCCTTAGCGTCTGTATTAGCAATGGAATCAAGAGAGGAGTCAGCACTGTGACACAGTAGTTGAATCCTTAACCTGTGGTGGCACCAGCGTGCCCTAGGCACCAGTTACAATCCCAACTGCTCCACGTCTGATCCATCTCACAACGAA